CCTCTTTTATGATAAGCTACTTATATTTCATGATAGCTTCAAGGACCTCCTGCTTTTATGATTAACTCAAGGGATTATGCAATCTTTAAATGATTTTAACCTAGAGGCATTATTTTAAGTCTGTCAAAAAGTTTTAAGTCTGTCATAGCTTAATATATTTTACCCAAAATCCAGTGAAGGTGGCCAAAGGATACAAACTTCCAGTTACAAAATAAATAAGTCCTAAGGATATAATGTATAGCATAGTCACTATAGTTAATAATTACCCATTGTATATTTCAAAGTTGACTCTAAAAGTAGATTCTAAAGGTTCCTACCATAAGAAAAAATTGTAACTATGTATGGTAATGGATGTTAACTAGCCCTATTGTGGTGGTCATTTAACAGTAACTACCTATACCGAGCCATTATGTTGCACACTTATTTAAGGTAAAATAGGTTTGGGGGGCCTGGACGGCTCAGTCAGTTACACGTCTGGCTCCTGAGCTCAGCTCAGTCAGGTCAAGCCCCACATGGGGTTCACGCTGACAACACAGAGCCTGCTTGGGATTCTCTCTCTGACTCGCCCTCTGTCCCTCCCCTGCTTGTGCATACATGCTCGTGCTCTCTCTCAAAATAAATAAGTAAACTTAAAACAAACAAACAAATGTAAAATAGATTAAGTACTATGCTAAGATGCAGAGTTTCTGCACATTTTTTATCTTTATATTTTTGTTGACTTAGGGAAGCACTAGAAGCTTAAAATAAACACAAAAGCTGAATATTATACATCGATCTTTCCTTTTCTAAATTCTTCATTCCAGTTGTGTTTATTTGACCTTCACCTAATTATCTAGCCCAGTGGCAAGACATTTCTCTTCTTTTCCTCTCTTTCTCCAACACACATAATATACATATATCTCCCAATGATTTTACATTATTTCCCTTAATGAATATATTGCAAATCCTTCATAACCACAGTGAGAAACAAAAAGCTCTTAAAAGGGATTTTTAACTCTCCCTTTTATATGGTGCCCAATAAAGACATTGTTGTACCTACCTGTGTTATATTTATAGGTAAGCATTTCTAAAATCATGATATGTTAATTTCTTTACAATAATACATTAATCATGTTGTATTAAGGAAAATGGAACCTTTTAACTTAACATTTAAAATGTTGTTATTCATATTTTATAAATATTAAACTAGAGTTCCAGCTGACTGTTAAAATATAAGATTTTTCTCAATTTCTACAAAGACTTCAGACACATCAAACCCGTGGCTACAGAGAAAGGAATTTAACTGCCAAGTCTGAGCAAAACAATATTCTAGACCTACACATCTGATACAGTAGCCACTAGGCACCTGTGACTTTTAATCTAAATTAACATTAATTAAAATGAAATCAGATTAAATTAACATTAGTCCCTCAGTTGCACCAGCAATATTTTAAGTCCTCAATAGTTGCAGCATGGCTGGTGACTACCACAAGTATAAAACACACAAATACAGAACATTTCCATTATCTCAGAAAGTGGATTGAACACACTTCCTTCACTCCTCCCCAACCTCCACTTCTAAACTTCTCTTTATTGGGTCTCTTCAGTCTCCATCTTACAGGATTCTAACCCAGACTTGCCTTTTCTGCCTATACCAGTTGTTCTCAACTTAGGGACTTCATGCCCCTCCCCATAGGACATTTGAAATGTCTGAGACATTTTGGGTTGTCACAACTCGGGAGACAGGTTTTAATAGTGACGTGGTGAGTGGAAGCCAGAGACACTGCTAAGCATCTTACAATGCACAGGATATCCCCCACAACCACAAATGATGTGCCCAAGTTGAGAAACTTTGGGAGGGACTAGACTGGAGGTGCATGTGGATTGCCCACCCAAAAGTGGATTTGTTGTATCATTTGTATCATAAGTCCCTACCTTCTGACTACTCCCAAATATCACGTACACCAGGTACAAGAAAGTAATACCCTCAGATCCAATGTAGGTCTAGCACCCAGAGTCCCCACTGACTTTAGAAAGGTAGACATAAACTACAGGTTTTACCACATTGAATTCTTATTTTTACAGAGACTGGCATTTTCCCACATTGGTTAATTGAACAGTAATCAAATGTGGGTGGTATCACGTATACTTTTATTCCTTTAGATTTTTTTTTATCATTTTGAGAGACAGAGAGTGGGAGTGGCAGAGAGAGAGGGAGGGAAAGAGAGAGAGAATGAACATATTTTTATAAAAGAATGGTGATCAAACCTTCCCAGTATGTACATATTTTTGTTTATGTGTGTGTGTGTTTGTATGCGTAGGTATGTTCATTGATGCATGTATTTATAAGTACAGAGAAAAATGAAATGATACAGTAGTTTGTCAATGAGGATTACATATGGGAGTGCTATTATCAGGGGAAAGGAGAAACGGAAAAAATATGTAAAATTTAGGCAAAAATTCATGGTAATGGTAAAAAGTTATATTTTCATTTTTTTTAAATAATGGAGTATTTAAGAACTACCTCAAATAGAGCAACTGATAGGAAAATCAAAAGCATAAGATCTATTCATTAATATGGCATTTGTATTCTAGAAGAGAAACGGCTAATAAATACGAAAAATAATACTTCATACAGCGGTGAGTCCTCTGAAGAATATTAAAATGTAGGTGTTTGGGGGAGATAGTCCTGAGCTCAGGAAAGAGATCAGCACTTAGAGAAGCAAATCTGGGATTCATCAGGGTGCTACACGAGTCAATGTGATCATTTAGAGAGTAAGTGTAGGGGAGGAGAGAGTTCAGGGTTGTACCCTAGAGCACTCCAACAGGGAGTGGCAAAGATGGAAGCTTACCGAGATGAGCAAAAGAAGTAGAGGAGAGAAAGTGGAGATGCTGAGACAACTCTTTAGATGAGTTTTTCCGGAAAGTGTCTTGTGGGAATGGTACAGAGAAATGGGGCACTGAATGGAAGGGCACCATGGGATCAATGGAAGCTTTGTATAGAGGACATTTAACACACCATGCTTATATATTCATCCTGGGGAAAAGCTATGATGCAGGAAAACAAAAGAAATGCTTGCAAGAGAAAACTCAATGAGAAGTGAGAGGAAAAGGCATTTGTAGAAGAGAAGACTTAGGGATAGGTTGGAGAAGGAATGACTAGCTATGTCCTTATCCTTGAGGCATGCATCCATATATGATGAGAAAGTGTTTTCTCCCAAGAGTAAACAGTATTTGAAATTATTCCACTGAATTGTATTAGAATCAATGTAGATTTATATCACATCAGCTATCCCCTAGCAAAATATCCACAACTGACAACTTCAATCAACAAAACCATGAATTTGCATCGTGAGACACATTCTCTTGTTATTTACATGCTCCAAAATTATAGACTAAAAAAGACGATGGTGCAAATAGGCAAAGTACACGAACAAATGTTAGTAGAGTGATATATACATAAATATATTTGTCACTGATATATAGTTCAGTTACTCTATGATCCCAGTGCTATGCAATTTCCAATAAAAAGTCAAAATCTGAAGATGTCTGCTCAGATTTTAAAAGAGAAAAGATAATCTATATCTGAACCAGAAAAATTCCATTCTTAGAAATTTCCCAAGTTGGGGCACCTGGGTGGCTCAGACAGTTAAGCTTCCGACTACGGCTTAGGTCATGATCTCACAGTCTGTGAGTTTGAGCCCCGCATTGGGCTCTATGCTGACAGCTCAGAGCCTGGAGCCTGCTTCAGATTCTGTCTCCCTCTCTCTCTGCGCTTCCCCCATTCGCACTCTCTCTGTCTCTCTCTCAAAAATAAATAAGCATTAAAAAAGAAACAAATTTCCCAAGTAAATGTCCTTTCTACCACAATAGCTAGTCCACTGTGTAGTAGGTAAAATAAGATTTTAAAGCCACTGATCAATCAGTGCATGCGTCATTCCTTGTAATTCATGCCAACAAGGACACCAAAATCTTTTAGGCTCATCTGAATTGTGAACAAGAAACATGTTTGGCACCTTTTTTTTGAAATTTGGGTATACCTAAAACTAGGGATTTCTTAAACTTTGACAGCAAAAGCAGATCAGCAGCTAGAAATGCAGCAATCTTTTACAACCAGTTTTTAATAGCAAGCGTCAGAGAAAGCAAGGAAAACTTTTCATTTCCCTATCTAGAGATGTAGGCACAAAACTATATAGTCAAAAAGTTCATGAAAACTTGTTAATGACAGGAATAATAAACTAATGTTGGATGAAATTGGCCAACTGCCTCCTATTTACAACCCGTAATTTTCATTCACGATTACCTTAGTAAGGCACATTTACTTCCATACATAATTTTATATTTACAAAGACAGAAATCTATAAAGATAACTTTCAAAGATCTCTGCAAACAGTAGACCTAAAATATTAACTGCCTGGTCTACTTTCTCTACCTATCCAGTTTTCTTCCTATCAACAACAACTGGATAATTCTGGAATTTTCAATGGACCCAGAAATAAGAGATTATGATTGATTTTTCACTTACAGCTTTATAAAGTAGCTCAAAATCCCAGCAAAAATCTTCCTACCCCAGCAAAATCACTCTGGTAAAATTATTCTTTTAGATAAATTGTTTTTAATTACAACTTTGTCTTTTAGGAAAATTAAAACATCCAAATTACTCTTCTGATCATTTTAAACTCTTTACTATTATGGCCTGAGAAACCAAAGCTAGGAAACACTGCAGAAACCCAAATTACACTGGTACAACACATTTAAGTTCAGGGAGCAAAACATGGGAAACCTTGGATTTTTATAACTAACATCTGTTTATAAACCAGTCTATCACCCTAGTTTTGAACAAAGTACTTGAATCCAAAAATAAGGAAGTAGATGATGGAACCTGAGTCTACAGAAAAGTCCCCACAGGAACAGATAAAAAAAAAATCAGCACAAAAGCATGAGGTGGTTGTTGTTTAAATAAACTCTGACTTGGGTTTTTGTTGTTTTGTTGATTTGTTTGTTCAGTTTGAAAGGCTTACCATCTTGCTGCCCATGAAGAGCCTGAGGACTCTGCATTCTCTCCTCAAGATTGGAGCTAAGATCAGAGTTCACGGCTGACATCCGTGTTGAATCGCTCATATCAAATTCATCGCTTTCTATTGAACTTTCATCCTGAAAATGGTTTTAAAATATCATCAAGCATCATAAAATATAACACATTCAAATAGTGACCATTATATCTACAGGGTCAATTAGAGCTTAGCCAGTAAGTTAGCTTTTACAGAACTCAGTAAATTGTGTTACATATTAATAGATACTTGAAATAAATAATGTAATAATTTCTCTCTTTAAGGAATTTCAAGGCTTGTGAAAAATCAAACAATGTATCTAAGTACAGGCAGATTTAAAAGGCAAAATAACATGTTTAGGAAGGATGTACTTGGGAGAATTATCCTTAACAATGAAAAAATGGTTTTTTTAATTAGTAAAAACTTCCCTAGGACAGTCAGTCACGAAACATAAAATACAGAGAAATATATGTTTTGAGTCCAAAAATAAATGACCTAATAAAATATTATAAGCAAAAATCTTAGGATGCGATAAGAAAACCTTACACAAAAAATTTTCCTTGGCAAACAGGATGGATTCTAATAATTGACAAACTTACATGGCTAGATTGAAAATCCACATTTCCTGAAAGCAAGATTTTAACCCCTCCCTTCTTTCCTTATAAGTGAATATATGCTGTACTGCAACCACAAAAACAAGTTCTAGGTAGAAGTGTGAAAGATCCATTTACCAAAAGCCAGTTCGCCGAGTGGCTAAATTACCAAAAGGCCAGTTTTCCAAATGCCCAACTCATCAAAACCTGTCAAAAATTAAGGTAAACCAAGTCTAAGATATTTTGCTGTAAATCGTTTCACTGAAGCAAATTCCTTTTAGAGAACCGATTTTCAGCCAAATGGTATGCTTACGTAGGCAGAAAGGCCTGAGAAACTTGTGTAACATATTGCAAGTACTTAATCAAAATCACCAGGTTTGACTTTAATTTGTAAATGTCTGATCTCAAAGTTTAGCATTAATATAAAAATCAGCAATCGCCATAGCAGTAGTGCTATTTATGTGACACGTAACTGTTCTTTATACTTGTTTACTCACTTCATCTTTATCACAACCTGTGAATTGGGTACCAGGATTCATCCACTTTTACAGATTGAGAAATTGAGGCACAGAGCAGTTAAAGAACGTATCCCACTATAATACACCAGAACTGGGATTCATATGAAGTCACTCACGCTTGAGAAAATGACTTCTTTGAACAGGAAGAGTTACCTTGGCTTCCTAAATGACATCTTGGTATCAGCAAAGAAGTTGCTATGGTTAGGGGACAGGAACGTTCTAGTAGACTAACAAATTGGCATTCTGATCCATAGGTCAGGTCAAGATGATTTTGGTGTCCTTCCTTTACACAAGGTCTGATCATGCCCGGGTATACTGAGTAGAACTAGCTCTTCATTAATTCAGCAAGGAAATGACACCCTGTGAGGCCTCTGGGCAATCAGCCGCATAGACTTCTCCCAGCGGCATGCCCTCTCTCTTGGTACATTATGTTTTCTCAAATTCTAAATTCTAAGAAAATCCAAAGCATCTGAAATAAATATATATATTAAAAAGAGAAAAAAATAACAGAATTCAATGTGCACATCAATCTTATCAGTGTGTACCATATACATATGCCTACACATATATGCACACACGTAGGTGATACAGATATTTATTATATGCACTATATATAGTGTCTGACATGATGGAATTTTAGAGTACATTCTCTACAGCCAGACTGACTGATTCAGATCCAGCTCTGCCACTTAGATGTGTTACCTTAAATAAGTAACCTAACCTTTCTGTGCCTCAATTTCTTCATCTATAAAATGGGAATAATAGTATTAATCTCATAGGGCTATATAAAGGTTAAGCAAATATACTAATATTTAAAGTACTTAGGACAAGGTCAGATAAATAAGTACAAAACTGTTTTAATATTTTTATGTAGAATACATAAGAAACTCTGCAGTATATAATAGGACTTATATTATGTTTTATGAACACATACAAAAATAAATTTAAATATAATAGTAAAGATTAAATATAATAGTAAATACATTTAAATATATTAAATAGTAAAAAATATACATATAAAATAAAATATAAAGTAAATTTAAATATGTGTTTATAAACTAGCTGTGTATTTTATATAAACATAGTCTGTAGAATCAGCACTTATTATATATACTAAAAATAGCTAAATATACATAGTCCAGTAAAATTTCATCTCTAATATATACCATCTTAAATATATGTGTGTGTGTGTATTCACACGTGTGTGTGTAAATGTATGTATATGTCAGAATGTATGTGTGAGTTTAAAGGAAAGCTAGATACAAAGAGATAATATCTGATCCATGGAATGATTATATAAACTGCTACAGCACATTATGAATAATCAATACACATTTTATCATCAATAAGTAACAGTCTTATAAGTATATATTTTAAGAAATGTGGACAACAAATTAAATGGTTATACAACCAACTGTACCTGCTATTTTAATTTTAAAAGAAATCACCATTCTATTAATCATAGGTGTCTTAATGATTGTGACTATCTTAAATGTTTTCCTTTATGATTTCCTCTGATATACATTTTACTTTTCACAATTCTACTCCTTATTAGAATATAAATTATCCAATTGCTTACATTTATAAAGAGCTTTAACAAAACTAAGTGCATGTATTCATTCTGTAAGTTCTATTCAAATTATTGACTGATTAAATTACTATCTTTGATAAGAGGTGGAAAAAGTGCCTAAAACCTAATGTTGCGGTTTTTTATTATCAACATAGAGACAATGCTAATTGTCAGGAATGCTAAGTCTAGGAAGAAATTACCAAATATTTCTAAGAATGAAGAACTGGAAAACTTGACTGATATGATATTAAAGTATTTTATTTTATTCATGATCATCTGTAGGCCATTCATCTGAATTCTTCCCCTATGGGTGTTTTATTCTATATGACAATCAGAAAGAGAGTCTTCAATCTGACTTTATTCCTTATGTTATTAAAATCTTAGGATAATGAAAGCCATGGCCAACTACCATAGAATTTGCTTCCCTAAGGCTTAATTTTTAAAAATTAGAATCAATATTTTACTGTAACAAATAATTTTATTCCCAATCTTTTCCTTTTAAGACAATTGCATGGAATTTAGATCCTCTGATCCATTTATTTTATTTTAGTTTTCAAGTTCCAGATTTTACCTCTAGAGGTCTCTACCCTGTGACTCCTGATTTCCATTGCTATTTGTCCTGATCTCATTTTCCCATTTCCTGAATGATTAATTATAGTCTCCTAGGTTTCTATCCACCTCCAATTTCTTCCCCACCAGTCCTGTTCATCATCCACTGCTAAATTAACCTTTCCACTTCAGAAAGTGCCACTTCTCTGCTCATAAATTTGCAGCTATATTCGTCGATCCAAATCTACCAAGTAATGTGTAAGTTGCTCAAACATTAAGGGTTTTCCATAAGACTGCTTGAAACCCGCTCCCACAATCTAATCTTTGTTGTTTTTCACTTACCTTATGCTCAAGCCAACTCAAAGCCCATACTATTAGCCTTTCTATGGAATGCACCACCTCAGACCTTAGTGTGCATGAGTGTAGATATTGTTAAAAATTCAGATCACCACGTGTCACACATTATGTCCAGAATCAGAATCTTGGGCTGGGGTTCTGCAACATGCAGTGCAATGAGCTCCGTGGGTGCCCCTGATGTTGGTTATTTAGCCAGTAATGTTCAGAAAAACATTCTGTGCTGATGGAATTACTCTATAAGATTCCCTATGCGGTAAGGTGACTACCAGCTTTACTTGGCTATTGAGCACTTGAAACATGGCCAGTGCAACTGAAGAACTAAAAATTTAATTTTAGGTAATTTTAATTAATATCTGATTAAATTTAAATATCACCATATGGCTAATGGCTACCATATGGGGCAGTGAAAATCTAACAATTCCTCATTGTTGGATCTTGAAAATATTTCCAATCATTCACTATTAGCAATGCAACAAACATCCTAATACTTGAGTTGTTCCATACATCACATTCCTTAGTATAAATTTCTAGTCAAGCATATGGGTAACATTGAAAAATTTTTAATAATTATTGCCAAACTCTCCCCCTGTAAGATTATTCTGGTTCAAACTCCATCAACAGTCTGTAAGAAGGTCAACTGATCTTACATTATTAAAGTATTTTGATTCTCATTCCTGGCCATCTTTATTTCTCTTAATAGCACTTAGCATCTTCTTCTATACATACTTTTATTATTTATGTCCTTTATTTTCTCCCCTGCAACTAGAAGATAAGTTTAATAAAGGCAATGTTTTTGTCAATTTATTAAGTTTATCTCCATTATCTACAAGAGTACCAGTTACATAGAAGGTACTCAGTAAATATTGGTTGAACTAATTGAAATAACGCATTAAAATTTAAATATAACTGAGCACAAAGAAATATCTCACTTGAATTCTGTTTTAATGTAATTTACTTAATCACCTTCTTATCTTTCAATAATCACAACTTCTAAAATTTTGCCAATAATCTAGCCATTCATATGAATATTTTGAAGGCAGTGTGCATCCAATTGGTATTTTCAAGATGTAAGGATGAGAGCTATTTTCCTAATCCAGTTATAAATTGAAAGGATCTCCTCCCTTTGTGTGAAATACTTATGATGCTTTAGAAGCCAGAAGGATTCGGCATATGTGGGCTGTACCGTTGGCACAGAGTTGATTTTCTTACTTTTTAGCCTAGAAATAAACGTACCAACATCTAAATGAGCTTCCTACAAATAATTTGACAGCTCCAACTAGTTTATGAGGTTTAATTTTTTTCCAATTATATAATAAATCAGGAGAATAACTTTCCATTCTCCCGGATGGATAGACATTAGTATTTTTTAGTTGTCTTTTATATCTTTAACCCAAAGATTTTATTACTATTTACTTAATCATTTATATGTAGCCATCTGATAATATGAAATCCACGTCTGCCACTGTACAAATACAGATCTTCTCACAAACTGTACTCTCAATGGTTTTTTGAGATAAAACAATTTTATAATATAGTTTTAAGATTAAACCTGCTCAAATAAAGAGGAAAACAAAAAATATGAGTTTCATTAAAGTAAGCTCAACAAAGTGAATTTTATAACACTTCATCAAATAACGCTGTATTTGAAAAATAAATATTTAACCACATTTCCTGTTATTGAGAAATTTCAAGAAGGACTGTACGTATTAGCCTGAGAAACCACTCCTAATACTGATCATCTGAATGTGCGTATTGATTAATGGCTTGTTAACTGACTAGTTAACAAGGATTTCCTAAGCCCCTATTGCTACAAGTTTTGGTGGTGGAATATATATAACTTGGCCCCTATCTTTGAGATACTTCCACCAAACGGAACACTTAATTAGTATCCTAAAGAATATTCAACAAGTATGCATTTGTGTCTAATACATGCCAGCAAGCGCACATCTCGATTCTACTCTACAAATTAAACAGGATAATTTGAAACATCAAAATACCCCTAATTAGGAAGAATCACAACAAATTATCTCTAGAAAATACACACTGGTATAGAGAATAATGGGAAAAAAAACCTTTAAAACATACAAAAGATTTAGATGGTGGAGAAATGATTATACTTGAAATGCCCATTAAATTGACTTTTGTGATTTCCAGGAAAAATAGCCTGAATACTACTGGACACTTTCCTTGGATACTCACTCATTTGGGATACTTTCCCCTGAACTTTCTAGCACTTTACCAAGGCTAGTTTGATGGTGGTCCATTAAGGAAAAAGAAGCTTTCTTGGGAAGGAACACATTCCCACCCAGCACTAAGGTAGATGTGTTGAGACAGGGACTCTCTGTCAGGGACTAGAAGTTTCTGCCTGTTTTTTCCAACTGTGCAATGCCAGTAACATTCCTTTCATTAAAGAATAAATTACCATCTTCAAAATGCCATCACGCTTAATACGACAGTCATGGTTATCAAACTTCATTCCGACTTGGAAGTCGGTATTTCCATTTTACCTCATCTTGCTGTGAGTTCAGCAGCTGCAACTTCATGTGCTTCATGTAGGCCATGGTAATTGGCATGTTGTAGTCGATCATGCTGGTCACCAAAGTCGGAGGTTTTCCATTATCTGCAATAAAACATTTTTAATGGGTGTGAAAGTGATACTGCATTCTACCTGTAATTTCAGAGCGATCCACGTTGTTAAAAATTGAAATCTGGTTCTAGATACCAAGTCTTTAGGAGGTTGGTAGCATTATGGATGGATGGTAGGAAAAGGTAACCATACAAAGGTACATGGGACAAACTAACTCTATGGATAAACTAGTTATTTCTAACTACAGGAAAGCTTTTTGATACCCTGGCAGCAAAGCATGAACCCAATACAGTGATTAAACACAATCATTGGTAGTTTTGTATTTTTCTCCTTTGCTGCACACCTACAGTTCCTATGTGCTACTTGAGTAAAAAAGGAAATTTGCGCATTTTTTCCTTTCATCTTTTTCTTCTATGTCTATTCATCCCCCAACACACAGGAATGAACTAATCTAAATGTCTCTTTGAGATTATTTTAAACTCTCAGAGAAACTCACCGATTAGGAAAATCATATAAGTAATTTTCAATGAGAACTAAAGTCAAATTATAACTTCCATGTAAAAATTTTCAGCAGAGGAGCTCCATACTATACTCTTCACTTTTAGAAATAAGGAACTGGTAGATTTAAAAGGAGATTGATGGAACATCAGGTTCCTTGCTAACTATGTTTAACATCCCATGAAATACACATGATATGTGAAAATTAAAATATTATTACAGGGAAAAAAGTTATTTGCCACAGTCAAAACCACCTTTCTTCTGAGAATGGGCACAGAATTACTCTGTAAGTGGATATTCAAAATTGACTGCCTGCCTCTGGATTGAATCAACGAGACGATCGGACTTGTTGAACTATTTCAGTCTACCACATGTGTATAAAGATGTCGGATATAAACTGCCATTACAAGTAAAACGACTTTAAGTCTCACTATTTGACACCACAGCTACCTTTGTGATCTGTTCCATCTGGGTTTAAATGCATTCTTTTCTGGCACTCTGAGCAGCTCATTAGAAACCGTGTCACCGCTTCTCTTGGTAAGAAGGCATAGCTCTCTGAAATCTGAAATGATTCACAAAATAGAGGTGTTATTATATAAGCTGACTGCACATGAGTCAACAGAAATGATCACTGTATTTCCCAGTAAGACGCATTATTCCATAATGGCAGGAAGCACAATGAAAGCATGCACTGCGTACCATGCATCATTTCAAGAAATATCTATCCAACTTGATTGCATGTCTCTTAGTAATAGCTAATAATGTGATGTGGAGAACAAAACATCACCCACATCTGGATGGATATCTGTTTAGGTTTCTGCATTTCTTTTAGGAAACGTAATCACAGTGTGCAGATATTCTAGTGAATTTTCCTATGAAAAATTGCCAACATTGGTTTTTAAACTTACTGCTAGCACCATCAAAGTTTTATCCAATTTACATATATTTTTAAAAATTTAGCCCCAACTAGAAACACTAAACTTTGGATTTTGCATTAGTGAGCATTTCTTCAGTATGGCTTTTTAAAACATTTTAAGTCAAAATAACAGAAAATTCTAAGAGAACTTATGTATATATTTGCTACAGTGAATCATCCCTTCCACAGAAAATGACACACCTGGAAATGCATTTTGGCCACTTATTTCAATTGTTATTTTACATCAGTGTTTCAAAATTTATGTCCACAAAAGCTCAGGCTGATGATCAGAGCAAGCTTCTCAGGTACACTCTATAGAGCTTCTATTATCAGAATCATGATCTAGATCCCATTAGAAATCAATACTCCTATCAGTCATTTTTAAAATACTAATTTTTCAAAATCCAAGGTATTTCTCTCATCAAAGCCAATAACTTAAGTGAAGCTGACAGATTGTTAAATATCTCTAAATAAAAGCGGACACTGACTCGGACAGTGTGATGCACTACTCAGAAGTGTGATGCAGGGCATCAATCTTCCACCACAGCACTAACACTGGTACATGAAATACACCAGAAAGAAGAAGAATAAACAAGTTGAGTTGTAAGTGAGACATAAATGCCAAAGAAAATTTCTCAGGTGTATGTACAGTTTTTATGAACACTACCACACTTGAAGCTTGTAGAAAGGAAATATGCACCTTGTGTATAATTGAGTACAATTCTACACCAATTCTGTCAATGATGATGGGGTCAAATTTTACTTATTCATGCTGTAGAAAGAGCACAACATTGAAGAAATCCCATGCACTAAAATTCAAAATTATAAAGGAAACTTTGCCTTGCATTTAATAATAAAGTCAGTTTGTATCAGTTAGCCTAGATCAGGGCAAAAAAGCCACAAGAATACCAAAGAGAAGGCACAGGTCCACAATTAAAGTCTATCATGGATGATCCATATACAGGTAATTAAAATTCAACTTTACTAGGGTTTTTAATTTACTATAATTTGTAAATTCAGATGTTGTCCAGTTTAAAAAAAAATACTTCACACTGTACAAAGAATTTTGAGAGAAAAATAAACAGAACAACTTGAAAGTATTTCATCAAGCTATTTTATTTATGTTATATTTTTAGAGAGAGAGAGAGAGAGAGAGAGAGAGCGCAAGCACAAGTGGGGAAGAGGGGCAGAGGGGAAGAACTCCACTGAGTGTGGAGCCTAATGTGGGGCTCTATTCCACGACCCTGGAATCATGACCTAAGCCAAAACCAAGAGTTGGACACTCAACCGACTGAGCCCCCCCAGGTGCCCCCCATCAAACTATTTTATATTAATTATTGAATAAGGAAATACATACACAAATTAAATTCTCATTCCCTTTCTCTTATGCTATTTTCCTAACTACACACACACACACACACACACACACACACACACAAACACATTTGATCATTACTCATCTGTTTTATAGAAGGAACTCACACCTTTGCCTGATTTATTAATCTGATTGGAGATCATTTTTCTGACACTCCAAAAACCTATGTTAAAGTAATTCAGAAATTACAAACAAATGTCCACGATGCATGCCTGGCCCTAATATTTTAACTCACATGAAGTTATAGTCCATTGGAACTAATGGGGCTGTCCACTAAATTCTTCAACAAATAGGATTTGAGTAGAATGTTCTACTGATTTTCAGGGGATTTCTATTACAACCCTATCTACTTATATAAAAGGCAAACCTTCCATTGAAAAACTGATGAGTAAATGTGGAGTTGAAGACACCCTGTGTTTGCTTCCAGCATCCTGATGCTCTCCACAATCTTCCCATTTCCCAATGCTAATAAGGCGCTTGTGTAGGAATCCCTTCTAGATGGATTTATCATTGACCTGGCCCAATCATATTACTTGTCCTGGCATTACTTAGCTCCAAACCAATTGTTTTAGAATCATTATTAATCACATTACATTTCTTTTAATAGTTTAACTCTGAGAAATGAGTAACTGTAATGGTCACAAATATGTTTGTGTTCATGTGTACATGTGGGCATGGAAAAAAAATATAAAATCCTGCTTTGTATCTTAGAAAGGAAATTTTAGCAAGTATTTTATCACATCATTCTCTGTGGTGTTATGCTGGCACAGCACTTGCCATGTCACCACATGTTATATCAGTGGATAAAAGCATTTATTTGGGGGTACTTTTCTTGGTGTTCAGAATCCACTTTACGGGGAGACCAGCCAAGGCATCCCACTCTCCTTGAATCCTTTTTCCCCACCTCATGCTCACTGGGGCTCACAGACCTCGGAGTCGTCCTAAGCCCAAGGAGAAAAGACCCTCAGAACAGATTCTTCACATCTTACACTTATTTCTGAAATGATATTTCTCCTGCCATGGAGGTGAAGAAGGAAAATAATTTCTTTTTCCTTATCTAGAATTTTTCCTCCCAGGCCTCTTTGAAATTAAGGATCCTAGGCAACCTTCATGGCTGAAGTTCTTAGAATATTTGTAAAAATGAAGAAATACTCTTAAAAAGCTCTTAAATTACAGTACATTTGGATAAATACATTTCATATTTAAAGCCCTGTCTTTTGATCCTGTCGGTATCTTCCTGTAACCCCATTTAGAGATAACATTGAAAGCCCACACGTGAAGCCTCTTTAGAAATTGAGGCAGGGGCAAAATGCCCTTATGGCTCCTTCTCTAATGAAAGGCCCTGTTTCCATTTGCTGGGAGTGAATGTTGGAAATGCTAAACCAACTTTAAATAGATATTCATAAATGGTGATAAAACACACGGATGTGTTCTTCTAGGCTCTCCATTCATCAAAGTCCTAACATCCTTCATGCAGTATGTAATAGTAGTTGCAAATAAAACTTCGAAGGGACGAAAATTGAAAAAATATTTTGATTCAGACACTTGAAATACCATTCTACCAATACTATAATTAATTATATGAAATGCTATAATCATTCATAAATGTCTTGTTTCCTTGACCCAGTCTTCAAATCTAATCACTTACTTGTTTCTAGGATAGAAATTGAACTTTGAATAGAGTATGGAACATTTTCTAGAACACTGATGAGGATGACACGTCATTTAAAAATGTATTCTTAGAATTGTATTTATATTTTGGAATGATAGAGAGTATTTACTTCGAATTTTTCCATGAGGAAACACTGCATCTTTTTGGTAATAAGAAGCAAAACGTAACATGAATGGATATTAGTCTTGCTCTCTCTGCAGTGAACACTAAAAGGACAACTGCCTTATGACAAACCACATATACTGCTTATACTAGAAATTAACATCCAAAGGAAGGACTAGAACCTAGCCACGCTGAAACTTACGAAGTAATACCAAACATCATTTTTCGTGTAAACTACTGTGAGGCATCTCTTCCTCAGAAGATGTTTTTCCTATGAATCCAGACTTGTTTTCTTAGATTTATGTAATGCTTTGTATTTTTCATTGACTTTTTGCAATCATTACGTTAGACGGTAACTAAACAGATTTCACAGTAGTTTTTTGATAAGTGGATTGACTGGTATAAAGAGATGAAATGAGTTGTCATTGTTATGCAACAAAGGACAAAGCAGAGGGCTTTGGGTCTCCCAAATCCTGGTCTCCCAAATCCTGGTCTATCTCTATGAATTGAACGGACCATGATGAGCTTATCTGACAGATACACAAATCCCTAGGGTCCAAAGAAAGCAGAAACATTGAAATAGATTTTTTTTTTTTAATTGTAGATTTCAAAGTGTCTCACAGGACGAAGTCAGCACTTGTGAAACGTCCTTAAACTTGAGGTACGGCTGAAGATTTGTTGTTACCCCTCTTAAGTTTGTGGTTCCGGGGTGGGAATGTTGGGGCACAACGTATTTTTTCATTACTTACCACTTCTAAAGACCTTAATTCTTCTCTGTATTGGACATTATTAATACTGTTTTTACCATGAAAATATTACATTCTAAGTCCATTAAAACTGGACTTCATCAACAATTCAGAATATCATGAACCAAATTATCACACATTAGGCATAGAAATGACCTCTCCCAACAACAACAACAAAAAAAATGGTAATACTTCTACATAAAAATAATTGAACTGAGGCATCTTTTGATGGATTATACAATAAACTCGGCCTCTATAGCAAAGATAGTATGACGTTAGTAATCTAATGATAAACAGATCCACCCGATGAAGGCCTAATGATCCAGGGCCATAACAGGCACTGCTACCAATCTTCCACTTGTGGGTTAAAACAACAACAGGAAAAAAAAAATCCAGGACACATTTCTGAAAAGTTTACTGGCAAATTTTATGATTGAAAAGAGGATGGGCATTTTACTTTGCCCATGTCCCTGCCACTCTGAAGAAAGAAGAAACCACATTTTTTCAAAACCTTACAACTATAAAGCCAAATTCTGGCTTCCTCTCAGCACAGCTCAGTTAAGGTCAAATTGTCAGCGATCCAAAAGAATTGAAATAGGAGTGCCTTGGTAGCTCAGTCCGTTGAGCATCGACTCTTGATTTCAGCTCAGGTCATAATCCCAGGGTTGTGGGATCGACCCCTGCATCGGACTCCATGCTAGGTGTGGAGCCTGCTTAAGATTCTCCTTCTCTTTCCCTCTGCTCCTCTCTC